GAGAATCAGTGCTTCAAACAGATCCTGCCAGACTGGAAGATCCTGGTAGACCCTGAAGAGGGTGAATGGTGGTGTCTAAGAGGCTCCTAAGAACTGTGGATCCCTGCTACCAGCTCTCCAGTTTGAAGCTGTATGCTCTGGGTGGGTGCCCTCATATCAAGCAAGCACTTTCAGGAGCTGCTGCAATTCTAGCTGAGTGGGGTTAGCTGTGAGGGTTAGTGTGCATATGTGCACATTTGTGTATTGTGTGTGTGGTACTCATGGAGGCCAGAGGATCAACTTTGGGTATTGTCCTACACTGTCAAGTTTGTGTTTTGGTGGAACTTGGTCTGGAACTTGCTAATTCAAGTAAGCTGGGTGGCCTCAAGCCCTGGGAAATGCCCGGCAATATGCTTACATGCATGCCACCATACCTGGCTTTAGTGTGGGTCCTGGGGATCAAAGTCAGATCCTTGTCCTTGTAAAGCAAGCACTTGACTGATTAAGGGATTCCCCAGCTCACCCCAATTTTACAACCCCCCCCCACACACACACATGTCTCAAACATTGTTTAGACCAGTGGTTCCTGCATCGTTTTAACTTTGGCAATCTAGTCCCAGTACACGCTGGCCCTTGTCAGAGACTTGTTTCCACCCCCTCAACATGGGGAAGGCTTGGGTGCAGATACGCTGCTGTCCTGCTCTGGCAGAGCCTGGACAGGATCCAGGATGTGGCTCCAGGTCAGACGGTGGTGACAGCAACGAGTCATGATTCAGGATGTGTGTGTGTGTGTTTGGCGGAGGTGAGCAGGACAGTGATAGAGCCAAAGAGACAGGAAATTTTTCTGTGGGTTCTTGACTTGTCCTCTCCCCAGAGTCCTCTCCTCAGATTCCTTGCACTGTGAGCCTGAGTCACCGGAGGAAGGGGCTGGAACAGGCCAAATTTTTCCACTCAGCCCCTATCCCTGTCACCCAGCTCACCTGATGGGCCCCACCCACTCAGAGGGAAATTCCAGTCCTAAACCTTGCATTCTCTCCTGGGCCAGTCAGTTCTCACTGTAGGCTGTGGAGTTCCTGGTGTCAAGGGGACAACCTGGGGCAAGAGAACCTTTTGCTTAGACAGAGGGGCCTGCTGGGCTAGGCCTGGAGCATGTGAAGATCACTCTTAAGGTTGGGGAAACTGCCCAGTGTGCAAAAGTGCTTGCTGTGCTGGTGTGAGGACCCGAGTTCAAATCCTTAGAACCCTATGCATAGTGTGCCCATAATTCCAGCACTCCTGTGAGAATCAGGTGGGAGTCACAGCTGGAAGGCCAGCTGGTATGGCGTACACAAAACAGCCAAGAGCCCCTGTCCTGAGCAAGCAACACTTGATGTTGATCTCTGACCTTTGCATGTGCATGTGAGCACACACACACACACACACACACACACACACACACACACACATACAATTTCTCTTCAGACCCTTTGGGTACAGGTGACACCGACTTGGGGCTATCCCCAGCCCCAGTGTGTGTGTGTGTGTGTGTGTGTGTGTGTGTGTGTGTGTGTGTGTGTATGTATGTGTGACTGTGCATGCTCGCACCTTCTCAGCTGACAACTGGTGGCGTTCAGTTTGCAAGGTGATTGCAGACATGACGCCCGTATTCCTCAGCTCAAAGTTCAAGGCCTTTTGTGTTCTGACCTCAAAGGACCTTCCCATGATTACTAGCTGCTAATACCCCTTGGTGTCCTGGGCTCTCCTCCAGCTCCTCTAACTTAAATGTTTACAGGGGCCAGACAGGTAACTGGGACAAGGGAAGTGGGCTGAGGGGTGGCGGAGGCGTGCTGTTCAGCCTGAAATGCTTGTGCATTTCTGGAATGCAAGGCCCTGAAGCTCCCCCCATCCCTACTGTTTACTTTCTGGCTGGCAACTGCTGCGCCCTCTTCAAGGACTCTGTGTAGCACTGAGAGTGGACCAGATGAAACATGCCTGAGGACCGGATGTGGTCCGGGGGATGCAGCTCCCCCTCCCTGCCACACCAAACCTTATGAACACTGGTCTCATTCTTGGTCCTGTGCCAGAACCGGGTTCAAATGATGACTTGGCTCATTTATGACAGTTGGGCAATTCTGGGCCAGTTCCTTCACCCAAACTTCAGTTTTCCCATCTGTAACATGGGTGTGTTAAAGGGCATCTACCTCAGATGGTAATAGAAGTAACGTAGGTGCTGTTAAAAGCACTGAGAATTATACAAGACATCTATCCAATAAGAAGAAACCATAACCATTGCTACTGTTGTAGTTATTACTAACTAGTAGAATTGCTGCCTCCTCCAGTGGGTCCCGAAACACCCAAGCTCAGGCCCATCAGATGATCCCAAGGACAGCTCTCCTCAGGGTGGTTCTGGTGGGCAGGGAGGACCAGCTGAGCAGAGAGGACACAGGTGTGTCTCTTATTTCTGCTTGCTCTACTCCTGTGGGTGGGAACTGGGATAAGACTGGTGTTTTAGAGTTTCTTTTGCTGCAATAAAATACCATGACCATAAAGCAAGTTGGGAGGAAAGGGTTTATTCGGCTTACCCTTCCACATCACTGTTCATTATGTAAGGAAGTCAGGGCAGGAACTCATTAGGGTAGGAACCTGGAGGCAGGAGCTGATGCAGAGGCCATGAGGGGAGCTGCTTACTGGCCTGCTCAGCCTGCTTTCTGGTAGAACCCAGGACCACCTGAGCAGGAATGAAACCACCCACAACATGCTGGGCCCTCCCACACCTAATTAAGCAAATTCCTCGGGGTTGGATCTTATGGAGGCATCCCCCTTTCAGATAGCTCTAGCTTGTGTCAAGTTGACATAAAACTAGCCAGAACCCCTAGCAAGATGGAGATACCCCTCCCATTCAGCCCCAGCACCTCAGGAGCCAGGCAAGTGGTGAACACCTGGGAGATAGAGGTAGGAGGGTCAGGGGACAAGAGGATCCTCATCTACACAGTGAGTCTGATACTAGTTGGAACTGCATGAAACTGTCTCTGGGGGAATGCTAGTGTGGCAGCACAGGCCTTTAGTTACAACTCTGGAGTCAGAGGCAGGCTGACCTTGGAATTCCAGGTCCACCCTGTCTACATTGTGACACGTTCTAGGCCAGTCAGGCCTACATAGTGAGACTCTGTCTAAAAATACCAAACCAAACCAACCAAGCAAACAAAAAAATCCAAAAGCAAGCAAACAAAGCCCCAAACAACTAGAATACAAAAACAATTTTTAAAAAATGAGATACACAACTCCAACCCCAAGACTCAGTCTCAAACCTGAGTCATACCCTTTAGGGATGGCCAAGAGTAGGCATCCATAGGCTCAAGGGCCAAACTTCCAGGAGTAACACCCAGCAAGTCGCTTGGCTTCTCTGGGCCTCAGTTTCCCCATTTACAGCTTATTTGAGTTGGAAACTGTATAACAACTAGGATGGTTCTGGGCTGGGTGTGCTGGGCTGGGAGGGAGTCAGGGGCATTACATTGGCCCTGGTCAACCTCTGGGTCCCTGGGCAGGTAAGAAAGGAAGGTACCTAGTGCCTGTAGGTACACAGTGCTGGCAGGCAGAGGGGGCAGTCTTTGGCTCCAGGGCCTAAAGCTATGTGGCTTTGGAAGGGTCTGGTTTCATAGTCCTGGGGGCCACTGAGGGGAGGGACACAGTTGTTTTGGGCTCCCATCTGCACCCCAGCAGATGGTAGTTAGTCTCTCAAGTCAGGAGGGCCCAAGGCAGCATAGAAAAGAAGCTGTCTTTTCTCCCTACCCAGGCCAAAAGAGAGCTCCCCTTCCTAGCCCTTGGACTCCTAGTGCTGGTCCTCATTAAAGAAGACCCTAATCCTACCCAAAGACCCTTCCCCCCAAATGGAGAGGCTCCACCCCCAAGTCAGGCTGGGAGGGACAAGGTATTATCTCTGTCCATCCCCAGCCAGCTGGGATTAGGTATACGCTGTAGTAATCAGTGGACATTCATGTCCCCTAGGACCCCAGGACAAATGTCCTGGAAAGTATAGGAAGTAGAAGAATGGGCCTTTGATTGGAGGAGTCCTGGGAAAGGGGGGGAAAGAAGAAGGTGGTTGATAGCAATTTCTGACCAAGTAGGAGAGTCCCTGGCACAAGTCACTTCTCCCTTCCTCTCACCCCTTGCCCCTGGAGATCCCCTACCCAGGGGCCCAGAGGGCAGGCTCAGAGATCTGCTCAGCCATAGCTGCTGGCATGGAATGGATAGGACTTCCAGGACCTCTGTTTCCTTGGTTTTTCACTGGGGCTGATCTCTTCCACCTTTGCCCTGCCTTTTCCTCCTGGGCCAGCCTAAGGGCAGAGGACAAGGCAAGGAGGGCTTTTTTTTTTTTTTTTTTTTTTTTTTTGTGGGGTAAACACAGCCTAATTGGAAGAGGTTAGGCCAGCATTTGTGACGGGTTTGCAATTGGCTCCTGGTCCGGATGGCCTGGTGCCTGGAGCCCGTGTGCTTCCATTGGTGTGAGGTTCCTGGAGAAGAGTGGAGCAACCTTCCCCCTTCCCTTTCACCTCTATTGCCCCCCCAGGGGGGAGTGCCGGGAGCAGCTTCTTGGGGTTCTTTCTTCTCTAATGAAAATGGCTTCATTGGAGGCCCAAGGTTTTCTCTGCTTTTATCAGCATGGCCTTTGGGGCTGGGTGTGCTGGGCTTAGAATGGGGGGTGGGGCTCTGGGGAGGGAAGGCAGCAAAGTTCTAGGTTAATACACAGGTCTGTACCCCTGCCCCCCAAACTTGGAAACCAACATACACGGTCCATGTGTGTTGGTTGAAAGGCATTGATAGGTGTTTTGCCTAGATGGTGTATCCCACCCACCATATTTTATCCAAACAAGATGCAGGCTGCTAATTAAACTATGACACAGTGCCTTCTTGTTATTGGTTACAAGGGACATCCTGATTTCATAGATTCGAGGGAATGTGAGAAATGTGTGTCAGGGAATGAAACTAAAGTTAAAAACATTTTCATCAACATGTCTCTTGTACACATTCTTCCTTCCCCGCAGCAAATGGTGTTTACTTAGAACTCCACGGAATTAGACACGCAGAGGCAACAGCGCAGCCCCTGGTTCACAGTGAAGTGTGCTCCTGAGATGTCAACTCTTAGAAGATCCTTCGTGTGTACGCAATTGCATCTGTGTCTGTGCCCACACATGTGAGTGCCCTCAGAGACTGGAGCAGCTGTGACATACGTTCTGGGGACTGAGCTCTGTGCTCTTAACTGTCTAGCCTCCCTGCCAGATCTCTATATGTGTACTTGTGGCTACTGCAGTTTTAGGTACATAGAGAGATGTCATCCGTACACGAGAGTGTGTGCTATTTCATTTTTATTGTCAACTTGACACAAACTGGAGTCATCTGGGAAGAGGGAATCTCAGCTGAAGAACTGCCTCCATCACACCCGTGGGCTGTGGTCATGTCTGTGAGAGCCTGTCTCCACTGATGACTGATGTAGAGGGTCCAACTCACTGTAGGTGGCTTCATCTCCAGCGGGCAGGAGGACCTGGGTGTATAGGAAAACAAGCCATGGTGCTTGAGAGCAGGCACTGAGGTGGACACTGTGATGGCCCTGCCCTCAGAGATTTGTCACCTGCACCAGCAGGGGACCATACCTTCCTCCTCTGGGAGAAATCCTTCTCAGAAAAGGCTCTGAATCTATGCCCTATTACCCCGAATAGACAGGACGTAGCCTCACACTTTAGCAGTTAGCAGTCCCTCTCTCTTCTATCTATCTGTCTGTCTGTATATATATACATACAAACATACTAGGGGTAACATACTGGGCCTTATTCATGTTAGGCAAATGCTTTACCTTGGAGTTACATCCTCAGCCCCTTTTAAAAATACTTTTATTTTGAGATAGGGTCTATGTTGTCTAGGCTGACCTTGAACTTGCTCAATAGCTCAGGCTGGGCTTGAACTTTTGATGTTCTTGCTTAGTCTCCTGAGTGCCTGAGTTGACAGGCCTGTGCCACCAGGTGTGGCCTGGGCTTCTCTCTTGCCTGTGGTCGAGTCTTACCTGGCCAGATCCCAGCTGTGAAAGGATAAGTCACCAGTCTCTAGGATACGGTATCCCTGACTTAAATTCCTATCCGATACCACAAGCTATGGAGGCACTGTGGTGGCCCTGCCCGAGGAGTCCTCTCGGTTGCTGTGCTCCACGTCCTCAGCGTCTTCCTCTTGCTTCAGTTCCAGCCTCTCCAGTGGGAGCAGACTGTGATACCCCCGAAGGGGTTGTGTGGAGCAGTGAGCTCATGGTGAAGGGCCACGTTCCTCCAACTCCACACTTACAACACTGTCTAACCTTGTGCCCCTCCACACACACAGCAAGCAGGCTTATGCTTGTTTATTGTTCTGCTGCAGACCCCAGGGGCCCAGGCCTCTCCAACACCCAGAACTGAGTTGTCCCGTCCCTGGCTTTCCAAGAACAGGCTCCATCAAACACACACAGTTGTGAAACCACCCTGCTGGGCTCTCCAAGGGATGAGGCCATTTGTGGGCTGAGTGGGCTGCTGAGGGCTGCCAAGGGTCAGGCCCTGGACCCGGGTGTGCTGGCAGTCACTGCCCTGTGGCCTGGGGGTGGGGAGCTGGTTCCTCTTGTTGCTCTCCTGTTTTCCTTCACTCTAACTTTCTTCTCCAGAGAGAAACAAGTCGTGGAGCTGTAGACAGAAAGGGTACAGCTACTGGGATAAGTAATACCCAGTGCAAATAAGAATGCTAGTCTCTTGTTGGACAGCATTACATCAAGTGTGAGAGCCTACTGATCACAGACCCTGTTCAGTTGCACAGGTCACTCAAAGCCTCACACTGCTGACTGAGGGGGAGTTTGTGCCAACAAGTGCAGGCCTGCTGTGGCTGTTGTAATTTTGGATGGCAGCTCTCTGTCCCCTGTCCATAGCTTATCCACACTCTGCCATTTTAGGTAGGCCCTGCTTCAGCTTCCTGTCTGGCTTTTGTCCATCCCCTGTCCATAGGTCTTGCCTTCCTTGCTCAGTCTTGGGACTCCAGAATGGCTCTCTGCCCATCAGCCATGCTCTGGAAAGCTTTCCCACCTGGTTTAGACAGTTTCAACAACTACCTATTTCCACATTTCCAGGTCCAGTAGGGACTTGATTCTAGAACTTGAGTTCTAGCTGCTTTATATGTGTTCCCCCAGTGAGAGGTCAGCCTTCTTCCCTTCCGTGTGGTATCCTTAACAGATTAGGTACTCCTTGAAGACAGGCAGGCTCTCTCTTCAGACTAGGCTACTCAGGGATTGTGGGATTGGAAGTCTTTCTTGGAGCTTCCTTCTGCACAGTGGAGGTACCCCAAACATTGAGCTAGAGAGATAAGCTATCCCCCACACACACACCCAGGTCTTCCTGTGTATTCTCAGTTGGGGTTTGGTCCTGGTTGCCCTGGGCTCTCCCTGTCCTTTCCTGGTCAGTGGCAACAGGTTTTCTGAGTTGGGGGAGGAGGAACCAGGAATGGGGGAGGAATGTAGGAGCAGCAAGGGCAGTGTGACACCAAGCAGGGCCTTAAAGGCCAGCCCCCACCTCCTTGAGCCTCCTTGGATGTGAGGAGTGCATGTGGGGAAAGTAAGCACTGAGCTGAGACTGGACCCTGGTCACTCAGGCAGGGCGTGTGACACTTGGTCCTGCCTGGGAGACGGGAGGGAACGGAAGGAATACCCTGACTCAGCAGTTGCCCCCTCCCAACTCAGATGGAACTTGGGGGAGGGTTGACTACTGAGAAGATGCAGATGGTGATTACCCACCCCCATGCCCCTGGGCTGTTTGGAGAGGAGGGCTGGGCATGGAATTCTCCCCAAAGATACTGGGGAGGCAGGGAAATGATTATAGAGGGGGACACAAGGGGGTCTCTTGACACTGTCAAGACTCAATGCCAGTGACATGCAAAGGAGAGGACTACTCCCTACTCCTTTGTGAGATAGTTGGGGACAGTGAGAGGATGTCCCATTCTGCCGTGAGGGGTAGGGGGGCTTTGGGGGAGGAAGAGTTTTAGAGGGGGGGTGGTCCCTGGCAAAGGTGAATGGCAGCTTGCTTGGGCAGAGTCCCTGCACCTCTCCAGAACTTGATTTCAGGCTTCATTAAGGCAGGGACAGCTCTTAACGTCTCTTAATTGCCTGGCAGCCCCCCCACAGGGCTGGGCACACATGGGCACTCTGCCCAAGCTTAAGTTTGAGCATGGTTAAATTATTTTTAAATCAGTCTTGTCATATCAGATACCCCCAATTAAATTCACAGTCATGATCCCAACTATTTATTACACAGCTCTTGTACCTTCCCCAGACTTGATAGGTATACGTTTATGTAAGGATAGACTTATGTAAACTCAGCCCTGACTCAGGCTTGCTGGGAGCCTTGGGGAGTAGTGAGCAGGCACGCACACATGTCAGCCTCTTATGCTCTACAGTAACCCTTGCTCACAGGTAGGGAGAACTGACGACACCCTCGTTAGGCAGGTCTTCAAGCTCTCCCCTCTGCTGACATGGCTGCCAAGCAGATACCTGCCTCATTTATCCTCTGATGCAAAGATGATTGGGACTTATGTAAAAATGGATTTACATAAGACTTGCCAGGACAGAATACTCACGGGATTTGGGGACAGTGAGTGTGTGTATGCATGCGTGCACTCGCACACACGCAACCATTAGTTGCATTCATACAGAAACCCTCCCCTTCTCTCGTGTTTGTACACACCCATGTATGTGGAGGACAGAGGTCTTTGTCAGTTGTTCTACCTTATTTTTGAGGTAGGTTTACTCACAGAATCTGCAGCTCACTGATTTGGATAGACTGGCCGGGCCAGCTAGCTCTCAGAGCCTTCCTGTCTGCGTCCCCAGTGCTGGGGTGACAGTCACATGCCAGGCTATCCAGCTTTTACATGGGTTCCGGGACCTGAACACAGGTCCTCATGCTTTCATGGCAACACTTTGTTGACCGAGCCATCTCCCCAGTCCTCTTCTTTTTTCTGAGACATTTAGCCAAGGCTAGCCCACAATGGTCTTGAAGTCCGGATCCTCCTGCTTCTGCCTCCAGAGTGTTGGGATTACAGGTGTGCACCTCAAACACCAGAATCAAGATTCCCAATTATTTTGAGCTAGAAAACCCCATCTTAACTGTAAACACTTTCAGAAAACTCTAGAAGACAGTGGTCACACAACAGGTAATCCACCACTGAAGAAGTATCTGTGACAGCAAGACCTGCTTTAGTTAGGAATAATTTGATATGAATTTGCCTACTATTAATCTCCATGGCACCTCCTCTACATTGCAAGAACAAAACGAAATGCATGCAGGCATGTTTTCACTCAACTCTGTGAGCCGAGACCATCATTCCAGCACCATAATTTAGAGTGAAAGATCTAGGGTCCACAGAGGGACTTGTCCCTTACCTGGGTGATAGGATTTCACAGGAAGCATGGTATGTGGAGGGGGAGTGGGGAGGAAGCCTGGTAGAACACGGCCGTTTACTGGGAAAACTTGGGTACCCATTTCCAGTGTGTACTACACTGGAAAAAGTGTCAGGTCCTTTTGAAAACAAGCACCCGCCCTAGAGTTCCACCTGAGAGGGGAGAGGAGGTTGAAGAGACAGACGGGGCTACATTGCTGCTGTGCTGATTCTTAGAGTGAAGGGCCACAGGCCCTGGGGAGGCTCTTCTCTAGGCTGAGATCCATTGTGTTGCCATTACTGACCCATCCCCTCTTTGCTTTTCTCTAGTTGTTCACTGAGCACTGAGCAGTTCCAGATCTTCAATCTGCATTCCCAGGGATCTTTTCCCCCAGCCCCAAATTTTAGGAGTCCCAAGAGAGCTGTGGGGATTATGAGGCAGGATATGTAAAATTAGGGCTTGGTGGTAGCAGAAGTGGAGGGCTGGGGCCCATTCCCACTCCCTGGCCTCATCTCTTCTTTCGGGGTGAGGAATGGTCCCTGAGTCTCTGCAGTACCCTCCATGGGGCTCCTCTGAGGGGACACTTGTGAGCAGTGAGGGCGGGAGCAGAGGGCAGGGGGCAGGATGCTTTTTAATTTCTTGTTAGTGATAACAGCTGGAGAGCAGCAGCAATTAAGGAGGAAGACTCCCCCAGGATGCCAGAGAGCCCCACACCCCCACCAGAGCTGTATACAGCTTCCTCCCTTCCTCCCTTTCCATTCCCGGCCTCCTCTCTTGGGGCACAGGAAGCTGTGGACTACAGTTTGGAGGGAGAGAGGGATGTGAGCAGTTCCCTCCTGGGACTTTAGTGGGGTGTACAGTACTGAGTAAGGGGAACATGATCTGGAAGCAGCCACCCCTTCCCTGCCACCAAGCTTTGGGGGTGCTCTGGCCTTCTCTTTGGTGCCAGTATTGAGGATTGAGCCATAAAAGTGACAAGAGGCAGCAGGCTGTGGTAACTCACACCTGTAATCCCACCACTAGGGACACTGACGCAGGAAGACTGTCGTGAGTTCTAGGCTAACTCAGGCTACATACACAATGAGTTCCAGGCTAGTCTAGGCCTACACTGTGAAGATCTGTCTCAAAAACAATGACAGGGCTGGGAGTATGACTGTTCAGCATGTTAAGTGCTTGGTGAGTGTTGACACAAGGACCTGAGTTTGGATGCCCAGCACCCATGTAAAATAGGGTGTAGAGGCATGAATTTGTAAATGCAGTACTGGGGGCAGTATATGGGCATGCACACACACATGTAAGTGGACATGGGAAGCTTACTGGGTAGTCAGTTTAGTAAAAATGATGAGTGTCAGGCTTGGGGAAATGATAGAGGAAGACAGCCGACATCGATTTCTTGCCTCTGTGTGTTCATGCGTAGGGTGCCCCACCAATGGGATCTGCTGGCCATGTGAAAGGTGGGAGAGGGAAGAACTGAGGACTAGTGCAAGGTTAGAGCTCGGGGACTTGGGAAACGGAGACAGAAGGGGTGGAAGTCTGATAGAGCTGTGCTTTGGACAGGAGGTTAGACCCCTTCATCTTACTGCATCTGTAAGCTGGTGTGTGCAGAAGGCTAAGGCAGGAAGATGTGAAGTTCAAGACGAGCCTGGATTACACAGTGAATTCCAGGCCAGCTTGAGCTACATAGAGAGACAAAGTTGGCCAGAATCCAATCAATCTCGTTCTCTTTCTTCTCTTCCTTTTCCTCCCAGCTGTTCCCTTCTTCGCTTCCATCCTCCTTTCTTTCTTATCCCTTCTCTCCTCATCCTATCTTTTTCGTTTTGAAAAATATTTATTGTGCGTGTGCATGTGTGTGTGCGCACGTGTGTGTATGTGTGTGCCTGAGTGTATTATGTGCACCATGTGTGCAGTGCCTGTGGAGGCCATAAGAGGGCATCAGAGATGCTGCAACTGGTGTTACAGATGCTTGTGAGCCACTATGTGGGTGTGGAAGCCAAACCCTGGTCTTCTGAAAGAGAAATAGGTGCTCTGAACCAATGAGTCATAACCCAGCCCTCATCCTTTCTACAGGGTCCCACTTTGGCTTTCTGAGTTCTGGATTACAAGACAATGCTGCCACACCTGACATGAGGTTCGAATTTTGCTTCAAGAACTTACTCAAATGCCAGCACTCCTTCATGGTCTTCAGAGGATGGACAATTCTTCCAAGCAACTTGCCTTTGGTCAAAAACTTCTGCCTATTTGTGGGCTATTTGCTGGGCGTCTGTCCATGAGGGTGACTGTTGTAGACATGTAGACCATTCTAGGAGCTTTTTAGCCATGTGGGAGGACATTAAAACAAAACTCACTTTGCTGTTGATTGGTCTTTTTATTTTAGACAGGGTTTCTCTGTATAGCCCTGGCCGTCCTGGAACTCACAGAGCTCCGCCTGAGTGCTGGGGTTAAAGATGTGCACCACCACTGAATGGCCTAACAAAAGTCACTTTTAAAAGTTGTAAATTGGGTTAAAGAGACAGCTCAGGATTCAGAGAATTGTTTGCCCCCTTTCACAGGGTCAGAGTTCAGTTCCCAGCATCCTCAAAAGATGGCTCACAACTGCCTGTGACTCCAGCCCCTGGGGACCTCCTTGAGTACCCATACAAATGTGGCAGACACACGTATACACATAAATAAAACTAAAAACCTTTTAAAAATTACAGGTGCCTGTGGCTTCTCACATAGTCTGTTAGTTTCTGTTGTGAAACTGATGAGCCTAATCTCAGCCCATGTAACAGTCCCAGGGGCCAGGAGTCTGGCATCCTGCAAATGGGCTTTCTGATCAGGCTCTCATAAGGTTGGCATCGAGGTTCTGAGTAGACAGACTTTTAAAAAATAATGTATTTAACTTTATTTTATGTGCATTGGTGTCAGATCCCCAGGAACTAGAGTTACAGACAGTTGTGAGCTGCCCGGGATTTGAACCTGGGTCCTCTTGAAGAACAGCCAAGCACTCTAAACCACTGAGCCATTTCTTCAGCCTGTGGACAGACTTTTTACCTGAGTGTTCAGGGGATCACCTACTTCTGAGCTTCCCTTCCAGCAACCTGCTCTGGGGATTGAACCCCAGGCCTGGTTTATGGTAGGCGTGCTCTCTACAGCCCCAACCTTTAAGCTCACTCTCCTGGGTGGGTGCAGTTCTTTGTGACACAGGCTGGAGCTGTTTTCCTCCTGGCTCCCAGCCAGAGCTGCCTGCTGCTCCTAAAAGCCACCTACGTCTCTGCCACATGCTCTCTCCATCTAGAAGTCAACAGGGCAGTCACATCTGCACCGTTAGCTGCCCCACTTCTAATGTCCTCTTCTTTAAGCAGGGATGACAATGACTTTCCAGGGTAGACAACCTCTCCCAGGTCTCACTGTGTAACGCTAGCCAGTTTGGAAAGCAAGTCATCCTTGAACTCACATATCCGGTCTCCGTAGTGCTGGAAGTAAAGGCAAAGTAAAGTAAAGGCACCACATCCCCAGCTCACATTATCATTCAACTACACCACCTAAAGTAACCTCATCTCAGGAGTGAGCCGATAAAAATGAGTCCTCAGATTATAAAAAAAAGGGGGGTGCTTCTAGGGGTAGAGTTTGTGGGACTGTCTTAGAATTCTATCTGCCACACTTAGAACTAAATATTGGATTTCAGAGTAGCCCTATAGGAGTTGACTTTTGTTTTGCTTTTTGATTTTTTGAGAAAGGGTTTCTCTGTGTAGCCCTGGCTGTCCTGTACACCAGGCTGGCCTCAGACTCACAGAGAATGACCTGTCTCTGCTTCCTGAGTGCTGGGATTAAAGGTGTGCCACCACCACTGCCCGAAGATTTGACTTATTTTGACCCCTCACTATCTCAACACTCTCCTCAGCCATTTAGACATTCTTTTAAAACCTGTTTTTTATTTTTATTTTTGATTATGTGTCTGTGTCAGGGTATATGCACATGAGTGCAGTTTCTGAGGCCAGGGGACATCAGTTCCTGAGCAGCTGGGGTTATAGATGGTTTCAAGCCATTCAGTGTAGGTGCTAGGAGAGGAAATCAGGTCCTCCACACAGGCTCTTAACACAGAGCAGTCTCTGTAGACACGCTAAGGGAGGAAAAAAAAAAAAAAAAGAGCTAGGCATAGCCATGCCTTTAATCCCAGAACTCCAGAACTCCAGAGGCAGAGGCTGATGGGTCAGAGACAGCTGGATCTTTGAGTTTGAGTCCAGCCTGAGTTCCAGACCAGCTAAGGGTACATCGTGAGACCTTGTCTTGTGAGCATGCATGTACACACACACACACACACACACACACACACACACACACACACACACACACTAAATAATAAATAAATAACAATAAATAATAAATAAATAGAAAAAGTTACAAGACTGTGTCAACACTATTTATTCTCTTTACTCTTACTTTCAGAAGAGGCTGGGATGGCCAGCTTCTGAGTTTCAGGACTCTAGGCTGTAGGCAGCATGGTTTCGACTTCTCCACTGCTGCCAGCTCCATGCTCTGAGCATGCCCCTCCCCTTCTACCTACAAACCAAAGCCAACTGAAAGCAAGGCTGAGAAAGCCTCCAGCTTTGCTTCAGCATGGTTTCAGGATGAAACAGAAGCTGGTGCAGGTGTTCAAACTGCCATGTTTTCCTGGAAGTCTTTACTCTATTCTTAGAGAATTTGACTATTACCAGTTCAACCTTATTGTACTGAAAACTAAGCCAGATATGCTCTGGGGTTGCATCATTGGGGACAGTGCCATCTCCGGCATGGGCGATGGTCAGGGTCAGCACACACTCACTGTATCTAGGAATCAATGAGCAAATGGGCAGTCCTCAGAATCTTACGGCATTAGAGATGGTTCAAGAAGCTGGGTGTGGTGGTGCTCACCTTTAATGCCAGCAGGAGGAGGCAGAGGCAGGTGGATCGCTGTGGGTTCAAGGCCAACGTAATCTAATAACTAGTTCCAGGCCAGCAAGGGCTACACAACAAAATCCTGTCTCAAACAAAGAAATCAAAACTCTAAAACAATCCTAGGCTGGTGACATGGCTCAGCAGGAAATGTGCACACTGCCAAGCCTGAGGGTGACCCGAGTTCCATCACGGGTCCCACATTGTAGACGGAGAGGTATGACTCCCAAAAGTTGTCCTCTGATCTCCACAAGTGTGCAATAGCACAGGTGCTTGAGTGCATGCTCGTGAATGCGCGCGCGCGCACACACACACACACACACACACACACACACACACACACACACACACACACACACACACACACACAGAGTCACTACATATTTTCAGGCCTGCCTTGGCTACACAAAACCTTTCCTGAAAAAACTCCTAAAGAACCAGAAACAAAAACCAATTGCCAGTCCTCCATGATACCAAGGCTTTGTCAGCCCTGGGAACTAAACAGCATGTGGAAATAACCAAAAGTTACCTAGTGCCAAGCCATGTGACTGGGAAGACTGAGCAAATGGGGTGGGTAATAATAGAACTTTTTCTTTTTTTTTTTTT